CGGGGTGGCCGCCCGCACGTTTTCCGCAGAGCTCGGCCTGCCGAGCCTCTCCCGGCCCGGGCGCGGCGCTGACGCGGCTCTCCCATTTCGCAGAGCGGAGACACTGAGGCACAGACACCTGGCGGCGACCTGCCCTGCCTGCCCCAAGGTCACGTAGCGACTCATCCGTGGCACGGTGCCCGCAGCCTCCGAAAGGCCTGCCTGGCCGGGCTGCGGGCCTGGACGGGGAGGGGGCGGCCTGGGTGGGCGGGCGGTGGCTGTGGCCCGTCGGGGAGGAGGGGAGGCCGGGCAGCGCCCCTGCGAGTGTCTCCGCCGCGGGGAGCTGGTGACCCTCCGGGCTCTGGCCCTGACCGCTGCCAGCCTCTGCGTCTGGAGGGCCTGGACCGAACTTTGGGTGTCCTGACGGATGGGGCCTGGGGCTGCTGTTTCTCCTCGGTGCACCCCTAAAAATCAGCCTTTAAACGCCCTCAGCCCCCGGTGTGCTCACTGAGACGCCCTGGCTGTGCTAGTGGGGTTTACTGCATGAGAATCTGTGCCTTTGAGCCTCACTTTCCTATGGAGTACAGGAAGGGGGGGAGGGCATGCTTGGCTTTCTAAACAACCCCCCCCCCCAGTTCTTAAAATAATAATAATAGAAACTCTTGGGAAATAAAATGAAGATTTTTACCTGCCAGACCTCTGGGTTTAGGGCCCCTTCAGGGCCTTTTAAAGGTATATAATTCTGGGTGAGCCATCCTGGGTCATGCAAGAAAATTGCACAGCTTGCATAAGTCAGATAGTTGTTTATGTGTATCTCTACTAATGTGGCATGAATCCTGGAGGCCTCATCGCTTATGCTACACGGGGAAAAGTGGGACTGTTAAATCCTATGAAGTATGGTTCAGAAGAATTCAAACCCTAGCCCCTCCCAGCGGTTTTAAGAATTGGGCTTATTTGTTTTAGATAATTTACTGCCCCTCTGTTTGATCATTTCTTTCTGCTTGGGGTGAGATCCAGCCACAGGTTTACTGGGAGTGATGAAATTATAGCAGGCTGCTTTTGTTTGGGGGCTGGGGGGAGGGGGCATGCCCCAGTGGCCCTTGATCCCTTTCCGGTTCCCCAAATCCCAAAATGGAGAGAGATGGTCCAATAATAGAAAGCAAAGAAATAGTATTTTCCTTTGAGCTGATTAGACTGGTTGGTAGAGATGTCTTGCTCTGCTGGCTTTATTTTCTACACTGGAGCTTTTTTTCATTGTTTCACTTAAACCCCTGTATTACTCTGGGAGGCTAACCTGGCCTCCAGGGATTTTTCACTTCTTCCTACTAGCTGTAGGCAAATATCCTAATCCCCCCCCTGAAGACAGGGCCATAATGTGCCTATTGTGTTGCATTATGCTAGCCTTTACCTGTGATTGGGGCCTCTGCCTAAGGGGCCACCCAGACCTGCCTCCACCTGGGAACAGTGCCGGGTTGAGAGTGGGCTTAGTTGATGAGCCTTCAGGTTGAAGGCATCTGTGAACTCAATAAATGTTAGCCGAATTTTGCACATGTGGCTACCTGTATTTTTTGAGAACCCAGAACTTGCATTAGGTTTTCTAAGGGGCCCATGACCCTGCGTACATGGTGATGTCTTTAAGGGCATGGCCTTCCACCCCATCTTGGCCACCCTCAGGAAGCCTCCCACAGGTCTGGATTATCCTCCAGCCTCTGATCAGAGCACATACCTACTGGCTGCCTCAGTAGACAGTGAGGCCCAGAGGCAACTGACAGGCTCTGGAGCCAGGCAGCTGTGTGACTTGGGCCAAGTTACTTAGCCTCTCCTATCCTTAGTACCTTCATGTGCTAGGTGTGGATAGTGATTCTGATAGTCCCTATTTCATAGGGTTTTGTGAGAACTAAATGAGGTAATACTTTAAAATGCTTATCACAGTTCATGATACAATAAACTTTGAATGATTATAGCTATTCCTGACTAATTAGCTCTCACATCAAAGGACAAATGCACGGTACTTTCTCAAAGACCTTTTGCTGAAGGGTTCTTGAATCTTCAATTCTTAGCTTAAAAGTGTGATGTCATTTCAGCCAAGCTGCTTATACATGAATAAATGAACACACAAAAGAAAGAAAACTGTAGAGGTCTAAAGAAGTTTTGGATGTGTCTGATAGGTGACTCAAGGAACTTCATTATTTATTCCCATAATTTTGTTGTGACTCAGCAATTTACTGTTGATTCATTCAGCTGATGTTTATTGAGCACATGCTATATAATCAGACTGCACACCAGGGAAGGTCTAATTTTCAAATAGAGAAAATGGAAGATTTAATTACTTTAAAGATCACTTGTATATAAAACATAGTAATTGAGCAGATTCATTGAAGGAAGATCATGAAGAGATGGACAGAAATTGTTATAGGAGAAATTCTTTTCTTTACAATAAAGGTACCGCTTCACGGGATAAATAGAGAGCTGGTCACACACGGAAGAACATGGCTTCACCTCCCTGGTGATTAGAGTTCTCTCAGGTGGATGTGGTGAGGTGGGAATAGGGAGTGTGAGGATCCCTGAAGTCCCAAAAGGAAACATCTTTATTTTGGTTCTAGGCCGCACCACTCTGACCCAGGTCTCTAAATGGGCTGACTTCTGCGTGGCTTCCTGTCCTGTCCTTCCAGTCCCCCATTCTTCCTCACTCCCACATCCCCACTAGGAACGCAGCCCGCCAGAGAACACTTAGCCCAGGGCCCACCTGCCCAGAGACCTGGGCTCCTGTAGGAGGGCTGAATCACCTGCTGCCTGGTCTCCCTGTCCCCTTCTTCTGTGTAGCAGAAGCTAGAGAGGTCAGAAACGTGGGCCAGGATGACACAGGCAGCCGTGGGTTCAGATGGGCGATAGCCAAGTGTTCTAACTCATATTTGTACCCTTCCCTTGTCCACACTACTCACAAGATGAAATCTGTGAAGGGTACACGCTACAGGAAACCGGGTGGCATAGCTGTCTTATTTGGTGCTCCCAACAGCTTTATCATTGATGTCAAATCAGTGCTGAAGTCTCAAGAAGAGATTCACGTTTATGGGGCATTTCTTATTGCTACAAAAGCTGATGACCTCTTAATATGAACATTAGGGATTTATTTTGTCAGCTGGAGACTGTGGCCTTCAATCCTGTCTTTTCCTTTCTCTCCTTGAATACAGGTCCAGCAGCAGGACATGGAAAACCAACGCTCATCACCTCTGTCATTCTCGAGTGTCCCGCAAGAAGAAACCCTGCATCAGGCCCCAGCTGGACTCCCCAGAGAAACTCTGCTCCCATCCCGAATTCTTCCCCCCAAAGAAATTCCTTCTTTGTTGCCTACTGTTCCCCGGCAAGGCTCCCTGCCCCAAACTTCCAGTGCTCCCAAGCAAGAGACTTCTGGCCAGATGCCGCATATACCCCAGAAGGGACCGCCACTCCTGTATCCTGCTACTTCTGAACAAGAGACGCATCTCCAGGGCCACCTGGCTTCCCAGGAAGAGACCCAGTATCCTGCTGACCAGGAAATCTCCCTTCTCTCCCACTCCGCCCACCATCAGGAAGCCCCACTCCACTCCCCTGAAGTTCCTGAGAAAGACCCCCTGACTCTTTCCCCCACAGTCCCTGAGGCTGACATGGACCCCCTGCTCCAGAGCCAAGCTTCCCAAAAGGACATCCCCTTCCAGGTCTCTTCTGCAGCCCAGAAGGAACAGCCACTGCCCACAGCAGAGATCACCCGCTTGGCCGTGTGGGCTGCTGTCCAAGCTGTGGAGAGGAAACTGGAGGCCCAGGCCATGAGGCTACTGACCCTGGAGGGCAGGACGGGGACAAATGAAAAAAAGATAGCCGACTGTGAGAAGACAGCCGTGGAATTCGCAAACCATCTGGAGAGCAAGTGGGTCGTGCTGGGGACCCTGCTGCAGGAGTATGGGCTTCTGCAGAGGCGGCTGGAGAACATGGAGAACCTGCTGAAAAACAGAAATTTCTGGATCCTGCGGCTGCCGCCAGGGAGCAATGGAGAAGTTCCCAAGGTATGCTCGTCCCCCTGGGGCTTCCCAAGAAGTGGTCTGAATTGGAGTGATTTAGGAATTTAGTTTAATTGAAAGAAAAGGAAAGCAGTTGTTGAGAAAGAATAAAACATACCCAAACCTAGTTGCCAGTGTTGCTTCACCAAGAACAGGACTCACAAAAGCAAGATATTTCTGCTGTTGGTAAAAGCACTAGTACAAAACTGCCCCCAGGATCAGGATCACCATTTAGAAGCCTGTTCAGTAGAGCTGTCCTCAACAGGTGAGGACAGAAGGCAAAGCTATAGCCTAAAGAGAATGCCATGCAGAGGCTTGCAGTCAGATACAGCCACCTTCCACACCTCAGGTCCTGCATAGTTTCCACCAACTATGGTTGGAAAATACCTGACAAAAGAAAATTGTGTCTGTTCTGAACACACACAGACTTTTTTCCTTGTCATTATTCCCTAAAGAGTCTAACCATTATTTAGGTGGCGTTTATATTGTATTAGGTATTGTAAGTATTCTAGAGATGATTTAAAGTATACAAGAGGACCTGCAGAGGTTACATGCAAATACTACACTGTTATTTAAAAGGAACTTGACATCCTTGGATTTTGGTATCTTTGGGGGTTCTGGAAGTAATACCCTATAGATAGATACTGAGCACCATGAGCATTAATCAGTGGTTCACCCCCAGGGTGGCCTGAGGGAGGCTGCAGGTGAAGTTCACTTATAAATCATATTCATGCTAGTGAAACTGATTTTAGGAGGTATCCTTAAAAAACTAGAGAACGGCTAGGTTTTAATCATATTTTTCCAGAAAGTTCTGAAGGAGCTAAGTATAGACTGGTTTTCTTTCTGTTCCTCTGTGCTGCTGCCCCTTTCCACAGTCCTGTATTAGAAAACACAGATTATGTGCCTGAGCCAGCCCTTTTGTTACTTTATTGTGCAGGTGAACCCATGAGGGTCTTTCTAAATGCAGGTGGATTTAGTGGGTCCGGGTGGAGCCTGGAAGTCTGCATTTCCAGCACATTCCCTGGTGGCAATATTACTACTGGTCCTCAGATCATGCTTCAGAGCAGCAAGAGCTATCCTGTGAGAGGCAAAGGACCAAGCAACACAGTTCCCCCACTCTTTGTGGCCAGGACAGTGGTCAGACTTCCAGAGAGGTCCTGGTGAAGCCCCAGAGCTGTGGGTATGGACTTTTCCCTCTGGGTCCTGAGGAGGAGGTATTTGAGCCAGGGCCTAGGGTGAGTCAGGGGAGTTGACCACCTGTGACTGCCATCCTCATGGTCCAAGCTGACCTTGTTGTGTGGTTTCAGGTCCCTGTCACGTTTGATGACGTCGCCGTCCATTTCTCGGAGCAGGAGTGGGGAAACCTATCTGAGTGGCAGAAGGAGCTCTACAAGAATGTGATGAGGGGCAACTATGAGTCTCTGGTTTCCATGGGTAAGGACAAGGCTTTCCTCACCAGGGCCGCCTTGGCATCGGCATGCAGTCCACTCAGAAACTTAGGGTAGTGGGAAACAAGGCCAGCAGAAGTTTAGAGAGCACAGTGGATGGACACAGTGCCCTGGGCCGCCCACATCACAGGACAGCATGTGCATGGAGATCCCACTCTCAGAGAAGTCTCTGGGACAGGAGGATAGGGCAGAAAAGACATTAGGGTCTCTCACATCAATATTTTCCCTGTGGACCCTTCTTTAAAAAATTAGTTTACTCAGCAAACTATTACTAGGGAAGGAAAAAAGAAGAGGGGATGGAAACACACTGGGTGCCACCAGCAGTGTGCAGGGTACTTCCCAAGAGTCACACCCTTCAGTCCTCAGCTCTGCCCTGAGGGAGCCAGGGCATTGTTGGCATTCTGTATTCTTATTCAGGTGACTGAACACCTTAGTCCCTCAGGTCCTCATCCCCTTGTGTAAATAAGGAGGCTTAATGAGGTGGCCATAGGCTCACCCTAGGCCCCCATAAGGAGGACATAGTCTCCCCGAGATTTGTCTTAGAATCTGTGGATTCTTGTTGCTTTCATTAAGAATATTTAGTGTCAAAACCTTGGAAAAATCTACTTCTATTTGTATCCTTTTCTCTGATATGGAAAAATCTTTGGGCATATACAAAACAATTTTTAAACCTTAGATGTGCTGTTGGATAGAACTTTTATCTTTGCTAGAATCGTTAATTTTACATAGGATAACCTTCCCCCTTTTAAAAAAATGTAGTCTTTTTTTATATATATACATCTGAGTAACTCTGAAAATTCAACAATTTAGACTGATGTACTAAAGAGTAACCCCTATTAAAAAAATCAGCCCCAGGGGACCACCATGAATGAACCCTTTGGCCCCTGTTCCTGCTCACCGTTTCTGTGTGACACGTGTACTGCTGCACATGCATGGTGGCCACAGATGACTTTCCACGCAGCACACCTGGGCCTCTCTGGAAAGTGTGGTATCCAGGTGAACATCGGGCTTTCGACTCTTCTGCTGTCAAAGAAGAGTGGTTGATTCCATTTTTCACTTACAGCTCTGCATATTTGTGTGAAGTTAAGTGTTTGAATAGTGCAGATGTGGAGAAGTGGGTTGCAGAGTAAAGAGGACACACATTTGCCATTTCATGGCTACTGCCGTGGAGCCCCCAGAAGGCTGGACCAGCGTGTGTTTCTGCAGTAGTGTGTGAAAATGCCATTTCTTCATACCCTGGCCTGAACAAATGTTTTTCAGTTTTAAATATGAGAGATGGAAAGTGATGCCTCATTATTTTAATATGTATTGCTTTGATGATGAGTGAACTTATGTATCTTTTTATATATTTTATTTGGCCTCTTGCATTTCTTCTATATGTGAATTTCCTATCATCTCTTTGTTTTTTAATTTTTACTAATCGTAGAGGTTCTTTATTTATAGCTATGAATATTAACCCTTTACCATATATGACAGATTTGTGTAGGTGTATGTGTAATATATATAATGAGTCTGTTTCCTCATCTACAGAACAGGACTGGAATTAAGGTTTAACCCTAGAGCCTGGCATGGGGGTTGGCATGTCACAGCAGCACAGTAAACAGAGCTGTGGTCAGTGCGCTGGGAGTGTCATGCTTTTCTTCATTTTTATAACTTTGTTTCCAAAGAACTTTAAATTTTTTTCTTGGGTGTAGGGGATTGAATACAGGTCCTCATGCATGCTGAGCATGTGTTTTACTACTGAGCTACATTCCCAATTCCAAAACTTTTTTTAGATGTGGGAAAATCTATCAGTATTTTGCTTTATAACTTTTGGATTTTACCAGGATTAATCTTTTGCTCTAAAAAATTTCAAATATTGTGTTTTTGTCATGAAGCCCTGAGCAGGCATTTGCACCTATAACCAACAAGACACATACAGTATATGCTGAGGAAGGTGGTTGGACATTTGGCCGTTTCTTTTCCAGCACTGCTGGTCCCTGCAGAGGGGCCATTCCAGGGTACATTCCCATGATAACATTAATAGCATGTTATGTCACCTCATCCCACAGTATATTTTCATTCCTTCCTTCTTCAGACTATGCAATTTCCAAGCCAGATCTAATGTCACAGATGGAGCGCGGGGAGAGGCCAGCCATGCAAGAGCAGGAGGACTCTGAGGAAGGCGAGACTCCCACAGACCCCAGCGCTGGTGAGTGGTGAGCATGTAGCCCACAGCCCTGTGCCCTAGGCCTCAGTACCCAGCACAGAAGTCACAGTCCACGGTGGATCTGAAAGGCATGGTAGCAAGCTGTACGGGAAAAGGGCCTGCAGGCCCAGGCACCTGCCTGGGGTCCCCACGATCACCTGAGGCATAGGTAACTGATAAACTTAGAACACTGGGGTTCATCTCCTCAGGAAAACCTCACTCTTTGCTTGAAATAAAGCCAGGGTACTGACACATGAATGCCTTCCTGCCTGCAAGAAACAAGGCATTCATGTATCGGGGACTAGTGCTTTTAAACTTTCCAAGAAGGCCACCTCCTGAGTCCTGTAGCCAGTCTCGGAAAGGATAAGGACCAGGCGGGGACCTTACCAGAAGCATCCTGCAGTGTAGGACTCCAGCAAAGTTTTCTAGATGAGGCCATTAGATGGGGTCAGCAGACAGGCTATGTGGCCCAGAAGTACCCTGGTGTGGGGCTGCCTGCATTTGAATCCAGTTCCTTCCTATCAGTGTCAGTTTTTTGGAGTCTGTTTCCTCATCTACAGAACAGGACTGGAATTAAGGTTTAACACTAGAGCCTGGCATGGGGGTTGGCATGTCACAGCAGCACAGTAAATAGAGCTGTGGTCAGTGCGCTGGGAGTGTCATGCCTTTCACAGAAACTGGAGCAGTGGCACACGTTCACTGCTGGTGCTTTCATGGTACAGAGTTAGTTTCTGGAAACTTTGCTCTGCAGTTGCCTTTGGACTTGCATCTCATGCCTCCATCTTCAGTAGAAACATGCCCTTGTCCTTGGTGGGTGCATGTGGCAAGCAAGAATAGCCTAACATCACTAGGGATCATTTCTGTTGCAAAGGGAGGAGATCCAACTGGAGAATTCAGCTTGGGGCCAACCTCCCAGGCATTTTATAAATTAATGTCTTTGATTCGTGGGCCTATAAACTGGCTCTGAAGAGGGGTTCTAGGAACATGAGTAACATCAGCGCTGTGAACTAGGTAGGAAGATAACGAACAGGAGAGATGGACTCTCTGAAAATAGAAGTAATGGCCTGTCTCAAAGAAATCCACTTTCAGAACTTTTTAAGAATTTTCCTGAAAATTTAAATGGAAAGGAGAGGCTGTTCCTGAATTCATTCTGGCAGACAAAAGAGATGAATGCATTTAAAAGTAGATGAGGGCTGGGGATATGCTTGCCTCATCCACACAAGGCCCTGGGTGCACTCCGCAGCGCCACACAGACACACAAAAGTGGATGAGTTTGCGGGTTGGGGCTGAAAGGAGGCACACTGCAGAGTAATCTTTTAGTTGCAGAAAATCAGTGCATACTTTAAAGGTTTGATTGGTCACATCCAAAACAAGGGTCATGTGTGTCAGGAGTGGTGGCACACACCTGTAATCCCAGCTCCTCATGAGACTGAGGCAGGAGGATTGCAGGTTCAAAGCCAGCCTCAGCAACTTATACCCTCGGCAACTTAGTGAGACCCTGCTTCAAAATTAAAAAAAATAAAATGGTCTGGGGATATGGCTCAGTGATTAAGCGCCCTAGGTTCAATCCCGGGTACTCAAAAAAAACAAGGGTCATGTTGAAATAAAAGAGATTTGAGGTAGAAGAAATGGGAAAGAATACATGGAAAGTAGAGAGTGAGAATTCAGGAGGTTTGATTTGTGTCAAATCCTGAAATACAGTGAGGTCCCAACTGCCTTTGTGGCCCAGGTTCCACTGTGCTAGCATTTTCTTAGAAGGGCTGGGACGAAGGAGATCTGTCCCCTTTCTGTCTACTTTCCCATCTTCATCACTGACAGGCCTCCTACAGAACAGGGCAGAGTCAAAAAGCAACTAACCCCAGCCTACTCTGCACTGGCCCTTGCGTGTCCAGGGCCTGAGAGCTGCTGGGAGCGGAGGCCTCACAGAGGTGTCCTTATGTGGCTGAGCTGCACCATATTTTTCCACTCGCCGTCTCCAGCCCTGTGGAGCCTGCAGTGGGAGGGAGGACAGGTGTGGGAACTGCCACCCCACGGATCAGCCTTGAACCCACACCTGTGCTCAGCCGAGCCCCAGCGGAGCCTCGCCCCCCATGGCTGGGTGGGAAGCTGCAGGCCTCACAGCCCCTTCACACTGTGGCAGCCGTCCTGTCGTGCATCTTCTCCCTAGAAGAAGGCAGCAGGGTCAGCCTTGAGCCAAACCCAGAGGTCTGACATCAAGCAGGGGAATGTCTGGAAAATGGAAAGCTTTCAGAGTTCCACATCATCAAACATGACAGTGTCATGAACTGGCTAAGGAAACTCATTCAGTAATCTATCACTGAATGGTTTGGATCCCTGAGGGCAAAGAGATCCAAAGAGGGTACAGAGCAGAGCAGAGGACCAGCCCTGCTCTCAAAATACTTAAAACAGGGGCTCCTGTTCACGGCCCTGCACAGGTGGTCGGGCCTGGAGAAGGCGTGTCGTCTTCACCAGCAGATCAGCCAGAGAAAACCCGGCCAGAGGCATGGCGGAAACGTGTATTTTCACCCATCGCCACTCAGCGTACTGCCTTTCAGTCTTTTTAGAAAGCAGTGTGAGGGCTGGGGATTTAGCTCAGTTGGTAGACGAATGCACAAGGCCCTGGGTTCAATCCCCAGCACCACAAAAAAAAAGAAAGCAATGTGATATTCTCTAGCCTGTAGTAGACTCAGAAGGACCCGGCAACCAGTGGAAATGGGTAGTAGGAGAAGGGAGGTGGATGGACGACTCCCAGCACCTGGCTGAGGCACAGGGGAGGCATGATGCTCCATGTGAGGAAACAATGAGAATTTAATTTTGAACACATCTGAAGAAAATCCCGTGAGACACCAAGGAGGAAGCTGCTTAGAGAGTCTGAAATTCAGAGACAGAAATCTGAGCCAGAGGTGCTTGGCACTGGGACATTTGGACACTAGGGCTTTGGTAGCGTAGGCAGGAGTAGCATGGTCTATAGAGAAGAGACGAGAGTGCAGTGATTCCTACAGACACCTGACTCTTGGAGCAAATTGGGGGTCTGGAATAGATTGGTCAGGGCGGAGCCCAGGTATTCGTTTTTTAAAATACTTCCAAGGTGATTCTCCTGTGCACCCAGGCCTGAAAATCATTGTTGTAGGATTTGGGGAAAGAAGGAGTAACCAGAGGAATCAAAGGGTATATAGTTCAGTGGTGGAGAGCTTGCCTAGCATGCACTGGCTCTGGGTTGGATTCCCAGCACCACAAAAAGTAAAGGTGCATATGATTTCAAAGAAAGCAGCATGAGTGGCTAGAAACATAGCAAGAAAATTAGGGCAGTGCCTCATTGGATGTTTCAAGAGAAATGTTTCTGGAAGGAGGAAGTGTGGTCAACAATGTTGAATTCTACTCTTAAGCTTAGTAATATGAAGACTAAAAAGTGTCATTGGATTTACACATTAAAAACCATCAGTTGGGGCTGGGGTTGTGGCTCATTGGTAATTCGCTTGCCTAGCATTCGTGACGCACTGGGTTCGATTCTCAGCTCCACATACAAATAAATAAAATAAAGGTCCATCAACAACTAAAAAATATTAAAAAAAAAAAAAACCATCAGTGACCTTTGACTTTTGGGGACTGGCCTATTTCACATAGTCTCCACTTCTATCCATTTACCAGCAAATACCATAAAGTCATTATTTATGGCTGTGTAATACTCCATTGTCTATATAAACCACATTTTCTTTATCCATTCATCTGTTGAAGGGCACCTAGATTGGTTCCATAGTTTAGCTATTGTGAATTGTGCTGCTATAAACATTGAAGAGGCTGTGTCACTATAGTATGCTGACTTTAAGTCCTTCGGATACACACCAAGGAATGGGATAGCTATGTCAAATGGTGGTTCCATTCTTAGTTTTGTCTTGTTGTCATCAAACATTTATTTATTTATTTATTTATTTATTTATTTGTTTATTTTAGTTATTTATATGTGCCTCATGCATGCTAGGCAAGCACTCTACCACTGAGCTACAACCCTAGCCCCCATTCCTAGTTTTCTGAAGAATCTTTGTACTGCTTTCCAGAGTGGCTGCACTAATTTGTAGTCCCACCAACAGTTATGAATACCCTCTTCCCCACATCCCCACCAGCATTCACTGTTACTTCTGTTCCTGATAATTGCTATTCTGACTGGAGTGAAAGCTAATCCAAAATAAACAGGGCAGGGAGTAGAAATAAAAGTAAGATCAGAGGAGTAGACAAAGGGGAATGAAGGGAAGGGAGGAAGGATGTGAAAGGGAAAGTCGGCGGGACGAGTCTGACCTAACTTTCCCGTGTACATATATGAATGTACCACAGTGAATCTCACCATCGTGTACATCCACAAGACTCTGATTAAAAAAAAAAATCAAGTGAATAGTAAAAGAGTAAAGGGAATAGAACATGGAGTGGGTGGGATGAGGGGAGGGGAAGGGGAAGCACTGGGGACTGAAGTAGAACAAATTATATCCTATGCGTTTAAAATTATGTTGTAGTATATTCTATCATTGTATATAACTAAAAAGAACCAAAAAAAACTATCAGTGACCTTAGCAGGAGAAACGTTGGTGGCCTGGCAGGTGGAGGACTGAACAGAGCAGGTGAGAGGTGAACAGGAGGTAGCAGGTAGAGGCAGCAAGAAGTTTGGCTGTGAGTAGGCAGTGGACACCAGGGCAGGAGCAGGGGGTGGGGGTGGGTTTTGTTTGCTGAAGCTGGGGGTGCTGAAGGCTATCTGACTTCATAATATCAAGTCAGTAAATTCCCAAAAAGCACTTGACTTAAAAATTTCATCTGGAAATGGGAGGAATGCTGGTGGAACGATCTAGTCTACAGGGAAGTGTAAATATAAAACGAAGCTGGTGATGTAAACAAAAGATAGAGAAAAAGTGGATGAAAACATACTGTGATTTGTAAAATTTTTCAGACGAGAGCAGATATTATTTCTTATTCAGTAAAAAGATTTTTTTTTAAAAAAAATATATAATGAAAGACTT